CATATAAATATTATAAAAATGTCATTTATCCAGTGTCAGAAATTTTGTTTCGTTTTATTCTAAAATATATCATAACATAAAATCTTTTGCTCGAAATTTCATCTTTTATACGTAGTATTTGCATTGTGAGCTTACATCCCTAAGCCTCGAACAGAATAGCAATCAAACGCTCACAGAAACTTTCTTTACAGGCCCCCCGAGGCTGCAACTGTAGTTTCATGTCTACGTAGTTTAATAAAGTTTTTTGTACAATTTGGAAAAATGTATAGAGACACTCATTTATTTATGAACAAGTCTATGTTAATGTGACAGATCTTTTCAACCAGTCAACGAGTAAGTTAAGTAGAAAAATACATAATAATTAAATTGCAAGGATACACACATAACTAGCTTTTAAAACATACTAGTTAGCCAGGCAGATGTTGTTCTGCTCTTTCTGACGACCCTTTGCACTATAAAAAGTCCTTAACGTCGCAATAAAAATATTGAGTGTTACTTATCAGGATGAAAACTATCCTATTTCTCAAGTTGGAGCAAGCGATACACATGTGCAAATTAATTACAATCGATTGAGCGTAAGAGTTTATCGCGAGTGATCATCGTGACACGAGATTTTTATATATTAACATAACACGTGATAACTTCCGCGACCATTGGAAATTCCTTGGCTTGTCAGTGTTTTTTGGCGAATTTTTAATTTTATAATAAGTATAAAGTATTTTAAAATTTTATGATGTACTAAAAAATAATACCCATTTTAACGATAAAATATTACGCTTAGTGGATATCCTCGTTACGGATCTTTTTACCCGTAGAGATAACCCAGCAAAGTCCTTCCCATCGCACGAAGAGTGAATAAGGTTCCTCATACAGCTAGCAGTAAAATACCATGTTATGGTTCGGTAAATTATCACTGCCAACACGCACTGGTTCTTCACTTTTGTCATAAGGTTTAAGGAATATAAAACATGCAAATTTCCGAACGCAGTCCAGCCGAGTTGGATTCGTCGGTTGAGTTTTTGTTCGAAGTTGAACTTACATAATCGGACGTTTTGTCCCAAGTACACATACTCGTCAACAACATTGATTGTAGTGTTGTAAAAACTACCGGTATTTGTGTAATGTGAACATTCATCATAAAATCTAACCACTGGGAGACACTATAGATATTTGTAAAATAACAAGAGGCCGGATACTCGTAGCTCAGTGGATCAGTAAGCTGAAGTTTTTTTATAGAATAAGACAAATGACCACTTAGTCTGATGAGAATTGGATGCTATGGCTCATAGACATCTATATTTATTCTCAATTAAGTATCAAAATGTAGATGCGTTGTCACCCATGATGACTAAAATAGAATGCCTGGTTTCCAGGAAAATGGGTCTCCGGTTCTCTACACTCATCATACTAAACACAGCACCATTAAGCTGCTACTTTACACTGGTATTCTGTGAGAGCGTGGTCCTTCTGGTTGAGCCGACCACCCATTCGTGATACAACCATAATATTGCTGCAGCATGGCTCTACCACGTATAAATCGGCCATCATATAGCTCGTAAAACCGATAATCTATGGGAAAACAAGGGTCTCCGGTGGCAGTCGTAACGCAAACGCACTGTTGGGCAACTCTCTACTAGATTTAATGACTATCTGATAAAATACGCAAGTTATCCAAAGATGCAGGTAGCTCAGAACCGTGACCGAGTGAAGCCGGCTACAGTCGAGCGTATGCCTGCTGTACTACCATATGTCAGAGGAGTCACAGACAAGGTTGGCTACATCTTGAAGCGAGTTTCCATTAAAACATACTACAAGCCGCCGAAGAAGATTACTCAATTTTTACCATCCGTCAAGTGTAATATCCCTCTACAAGAAGCAGGAGTATACAAGTTAGATTATGAATGTGGTTTCTCTTACTAAGTCAAACAAAAAGATCCATAAAAACCCGTGTGGAAGAACATATAGCTGACGTGAAGCACCGACGCTCCGGGAAGTCTGCAGTCTTTGAACATGTTCAAGATCTTCCCCACCATTACCGATTTGATATCAGACATACATAATCAGATTTGATAAACCGCAAATCCTCGCAAAAGAACACCGATTCCTACCAAGGATGATACGCGAGGCTATTGAAATTAACAAACATCCTAATTTCAATACAGAAGATGGATGGGTACTGCTATCTGCTTGGGATCCTATAAATAACAAAATTAAACCCAAACCCAAGCATACCACGACTTCAAGATACTGTAAGCTCGTTTTGCGTAGATCGGACCGAACAATTAATATCAAAAAACCAGGGGGGGTGCACTTTCATACTTTAGGTTGGGGTTCAATAATTTGCAAAGACACTAGTGCCATCTTGTACTATATCCGCATAAACTTTCGAACATTAAATTCTAAAAGGTGCGCTAGATGGCGACTACACCAATTCTGGTTATTCTCCAACTGGCAAGTAGCAACTTTATATTATATAATATATATAAGTGATTTTCGGTTGTTGCTACAATAAGTTTGGTTGAGTTGGGATTAGCCCTCTGTTTCTTGTTGTCTTTTTAGATTTTCATTCTGGAACCACATTGTATGTTTGCGTAGTGTTGTGCGAAATAGACGCTTTCATTTGTAATTCCGGTAACCCGGTGGACATATTTAATTTGGGTTTGGTGTTGTATTTTGCGGAATAGACCTTTTTACATCGTGTATGTTAAATATATATAACAAAAATAAATGTTAATATTACAGACATCTATAATACGTCTTTAATTGAACCCTAATCCCTTAAAATATAAATATAACCGCTATAGTATACGAGTAGATAGCTGTATATACATAACGACATACAGCTATCTATAGTCAAAATGATATTGAGATTAGTTCAAGGGGTATGACACTAGACGGCGACTCTATTCATATTGGGTGACAAAAAATCCTAGGAGATGGCTCTATATTTCTGTATATATTACTCTACTCTATGCAAAAAACTGAAGGTAGAGGTAGTGTTGTAAAGCACCCGAAACGTCGGGAATTAAAAATAAGTAAAGTAGTTAACTAAACGCGATAAAATCCGTAAATTTAATTTTAATCAATGAATAATTTTCTTTTAATTAACAAATAAGCATCATAATAAATAAATACACTTTGAAATTTAGATAAAAGTTTAGATAAATATAAAAGTCCCATCCTATATACGTCCCACTACTGAGCACAGGATTTCTCTCATTTCTGAGGGGTTTTTATGGCAAGAAAAAGGTCCGCCGCGCTGCTCCAATACATGTTGGCGAAGTCACATGTTGTTAAAATATGTTTTTACAACATATTTAGTAATAAAATACAATAAATTAAGATTTTAATACAACTATTTTACTATATCTTCATACATACAAATTCAATATAATTTTCTACTAAATTGTTTAATTCGCATTAGCTAACTTCTCAGACACGCAGCTTTTATCAACTTCGAGCATTTTGTTAAATAAGCACTCAGAACTGTAAACTACTCTTAATACTCAACCAGTACAAATTACTGTAATTGATAGAGCAATACTGAAACTATACGGAACAAGCAATAACTTATTCCCGCATACCGCTGGCGTAGTATTCCAGTAATTACGGATCCAGCATACGTCATCCGCCCCCTTAATCCGGACAACAAATTACGTGTGGCAACATTTGACTCAATAAATCTCTGTCAAATCTGTAAGCGTACAGTAACGCGAGCTTACGAGGGGGAATGCGATGTTACTTAATACACTTGGATGACAACTTAGTGACGCTCAGGACTACCACCGAGGCTGTTCCAATTACAAAGTCTTAACGTCGTTTCTGCATAGTTAAGTAAAGGTTAAATGGAGGACGCGGTTATGTATTGTGCATACATCCAAATTTAACGCACTAGGGGGCGTTAAATATATTTACCACGTGCTCGGCGGTGAAGGAAAAACATCATGAGGAAACCTGCATGTCGGAGGAGTAAAAAAAAATATTTCGAAGACATGCGAAGTTCGCCAACACGCATTGGGGCAGCGCGGCGGACACTTCCTTGCCCTAAAACCCTCTCAGAAATGAGGGGAGGCCTGTGCCCAGCAGTGGAACTTATATAGGCTGTAACTAAGGGGCGTAAGGAAGTGAACGCAAGCATTACAAAAAAAAGAAAAAATATTTGAAAAATCCAAACGTGCACACCCGTCTTGTTAAAAAAGTATGATGTCTCTGGTTGAAATTTTATAATTACTAGTTAATTGGCTTACGTTTATTTCTCACAAACAATAGAGATTTCATTATTGAACTTCAATACGGATTATCCAAAGGGTAAGTGAAAACTGTTCGTAAGATATCTAAGTTGATTAATGCTTCGTAACTTGTAAACATCACCACAGACAAGACAACACCAGACCAACCAAAAGCAGCACAGATCAACGTATTACTATATCTATCCAAGAAAAAATCAAAAATTACAAAGTTATTAAAAAGTAACAAGTACTCTGGTACACTAGCAACACTAGGGTAGACCGAGGCGAATCGGATCACAGGGCGAATCGGATCAAAATAAGAAATCTGTTGATAATTCAAATATCGCATTCACATAGAACGCACTCAACCGGCGTTTTGCGTATCTCCTCTCACCCCGCACCTCCCGACATAGGCAGTATTTCGATCGCACTTGTGAATCAGTGGCGACGCCGCTAGTCAGCGACTCGGTCGTTTGTGTGTGTCGCAATTTTGGCGCTCATCTAAGGTACGTACTTACGATTTCTTTGTGTCATATTGCGGATTTGTGTTATAACTCAACTATATTGGTTTATATTGTTAAGCAAGGTGTCTATATTAGAGAACCAATTCGCTTTTAAGTATGATCTTAGAGGTTAACGTCTAAAATATTTATTTCAAAAGTCTTGATTATGGGGCTAATCGGATCATATCGTCAGGGGCGAATCGGATCACACTTTTAAACTGATTTATGACATGTTTGAAGTTATTGATTTATATTTATTTCATTGTAGATGGTTCGCACGTACAGAAGAAAGACTGATGCCGGAGAATGGTCTCAAGAAAAAATGAAAGAGGCTGTAAATAAAGTCCAGAACAAAGAGTTGACCTTACGTAAGGCTGCTGAGATTTTTGCAGTACCATTCACAAGCTTACAGAGAAGAGTTACTTTATCCAGGGGTATTATTAAACGTCGAGGTGGACAGCCAGCTTTAGATGAGAACGCAGAAAAGAAGTTAGCTGACCGGCTATTGCACTTGTAAAGTCGTGGCTTCGGAATTACACCCAAAGCGGTACGTAAGTACGCGTTTGAATTTGCAGAACGTCAAAACATAAAACACAAATTTGACAGAAATGCTGGAATGGCTGGCCAGGACTGGTTTCATCGCTTCATGCAAAGAAATAAAAAATTAACTATTCGGAAGCCGGAGGGCCTGTCAAGAGCAAGGTGTGATGGTATGAAGAAGGAAAAAGTAGCAGAATTCTTTAATACTTTGGAAACAGTAGTAGATAACAACAATTTAAGAGGAAAACCTGAATGTGTATACAATGTTGATGAAACGGGTATGCCGCTTAGTAACCGCCCACCCAACATTATAGCCCAAAAAGGTGCTAAAGATGTTGTCAGCATGACTAGTGTTGAACGAGGTGAAAATGTAACCGTTCTAGCCTGTATGAATGCAGCAGGACAGTACATACCTCCATTTGTTCTATTCAAAGGTGTGCGTAAACGTGACGATTTTCTCCTAGGTATGCCACCTGGTACTGAAGTTGCCATGACAGAAAACGGCTGGGTCACCGAAGAAGCTTTTAAGTTGTGGCTGCAACATTTCAATCGCTACCGGACCCCAGGAAAAGTAGTTCTAATTTTGGATGGGCATGCGTCTCACACCAGCTACTCAGTGGTAGACTTGTGTGACTCTTTCGAAATTGAACTTGTACTTCTTCCTCCACACACATCACATGCCCTGCAACCGCTTGATGTATCGTTTTTCAAACCGCTCAAAACCTATTATCACCAACAAGCTACAGCATGGCAACATTCACATCCCAATCAAGGAATCACAAAAGTCGCTTTCGGAGCACTTTTCCAACGGGCTTGGAATCAGGCTGCCACTGTTGGGAATGCTACAAAAGGCTTCGAAAAGACTGGAATATTTCCACTAAACGCCAATGCAATACCTGACCACAAGTTCATCGGTGATCAAGAGTCGGACATTGTAGAGTCCCAAGTCCAGTCCCCAAGTTCCCAAAAATGCAGCTACACGTGCAAGCCACAAATACAAAACCACTTGATAATATAGTGCCATCCACAAGTTCACAACAATCTGACGAAGCCCAGCCTCCCACCTGTGCAGAAATAATTAAAGAAATTCTTCCATCACCTTTAAAGTCACCAATTGCTTCTAAAAGAATTCGTAAAGTTTCAAAACTGGCCTTGCATTTAACATCACCTCAGAATAAGACTACTCTTCTCGAAAAAGAAGCAAAGAAGAAATTTAAGGTAGACAATAAAACCAAGGAAAATAAGGAAAAGGCTGTGGGCAAAGAAAATACTATGAAGAAAATGAAGAATAAAGCAAAGCTTGCGATAATAATTAAGAGTTCATCTCCAAAACATAGAGAGTGGCACTGCATTTACTTACTGTTCCGAAATATTCGTTCATCCACCATCAGAGGATTGGATTCAGTGCAATGCCTGCGAAGAATGGTGCCACGAAAAATGTGCTGATATGGGGGAGGAAAAAGGACCATATATATGTGAATTATGTGCCGATAATTAAAATTGATCTCATTATTAATTTTTTACTGATTCCAAAGCTATAGTCATAAGAAACTTAAAATTTTGTTACCTACATGTGTACGATCCGATTCACCCCGAAAATTGGGGCGATTCGGATATTTTTCTTTTTTTAGTTTTTAATAGCTAATTAAGAGAATATATGTATGATTCAAGTTTTCAAATGTTTATTTCATAGCTGATTGTTACTTCTTACGTTTTTATCAATAAAAATAACATTATATAACACTTTTGTATGATTTGCTCAACCTCAAAGAAAAAGTGATCCGATTCTCCTCGGTCTACCCTATATACTTTTGAGAAAATGTTGTGTAAGTTTACATGTAAAGCTGCCTGTTAAGAAGTAATTTTTTTTAAATCCTCGTATATTAAAAAAAACAAAAAGGATTGCATTGATTTTCCAAAAAGCACTTTCTTACTATGCATCGTCTTTTTCCTACTATGCATCGTTTTGAATGTAAAAAATAATTAAAACATCGTGAAAACGTTCTCAAGATACTTTAGTAACAGACTATGACGGCGACGACAGTAAAAAACTTTGCATTGGACTTTTTTGAATAATAATACGTCTTGCAAACTTATTAAACGTTCATTCATCTGTATTTTCTGTTATTATTAATCGAGCATATAAAATACCCCTCATAACCTATATCAAACCCTATGTATGTACTGGATTTGAATATCCGTGTACGAGCAAGTACATGATATTTCAACAGTTTAGAAAATAATGCTGATATCGCGCCTGCGCGCGCGACACGTTCACTATAATTACATTTTTTATTCATAAGTATTTTCAGTACAATAAACGCTCTCTACGGAAACGGACACAGTTTTAATTACCACATCCCGTAACGTAGAAGATACAACCTACATTAATATACTACATATCAATTATATGTAGAGGGTCACAATTCACAAAATACCCCCTACATCTTGGTCCTTCGAGTTTTCGACGTGAACTAAGACTTGCATATTACGTCTACAATAGTTCAACAGTAAAGTGTACTTGAAAAAAAAAAAAAAGAGTAATTCGTGATTCTATCTGTAGTGTCACTTTGGTTGCTGGCCTCCCACAAGCGGGTCTCACCAGCTTGATTGAGGTGCATACTACGGTAAGAGTCGCAGTCACACGTATCTGAAACCAACTATTTACAACATCGTTCTTAAACCATGGAGAACCTACTTCAACAACAGAGAACAATCATTGAATCTATCCTTAAAATTGAGGCTAACTTCAAAAAGGATTCTGATTCACGTAAGTCAGGAACATACATACAGAAAAGGTTGGATGCTTTGAATGCTCAATGGGAGGTGTTCAACATGAATCATGGTGTTCTAAAAAAAACAGACAGTGACTTGGATGACGACTATTTCATCAATGATACCTACACCACCACAAAGAAGCGGTACGAAGCGATTCGTGACATGCTGACGAACTACGAGGTGAAAACTGCGGAAACTGGAGTACCATCAAGGTCTGATGAGTTCATTAGCCAACAACGCACTAATTTCCGGGCGCTCTCTAGGGTGATTAAAAACATCAACACCAAAGAGTTGACAGAAAAGTGGGAAATTTGTGACAAACTGAATTCGCTGCAGTCTCGCTGGAAACTGATCGACGAGCTCCACTGGCAAATCGATAACCTGACTTCTGGCGGTGATGTAGGCTACGAAGAAGAGTTTTCTGCATACGAAACCTTGTACGAAACTACAAAAAGGGATTTGAATCGTAAGCTTAACTCAGTATCTCAACAGCATCAGCAAGTGCCTACAATTGAGATTCCTTCTTTTTCTGGTAATTATACCCAGTGGCCTACATTCATGGACCTCTACTGTGAAGCCATCCACAACAATGTCATGTTGACAAAAACGCAAAAGATGCAGCACCTCAAGGGCAAACTTAAAGGCGAGGCGGAGCGCATCGTACAGCATCTTACAGTATCAGCTGATAATTACGACACCTGTTGGGAGATACTCACCCATAGGTACAACAACCGACAACTTTTGTTTACAAAACATATACAAACCCTTATGGGACAACCGGCGTTGCAAACACAGAATGCATACGAGCTGAAGAAGCTACATGACACAAGTGTCGAGACCATACATGCTATTCACAATCTGGGCATCGACACAACGACTTGGGATCCGATCCTGGTGCACATTCTCACTGGCAAATTGGACTCCGACACGTATGCAGCCTACATGGAGATCAGAAAGGCTCCGAGAGAGCTACCTTCCTTGGATGAGCTGATAAACTTCTTGGAAAACAAGTTTACTGCGCTTGAACCTGTTCAAAAGAAGAGACAGACACCTAACAAGTCAAACAATTCGACCAACAAGGAGGCAACAGCTCAATTTAAGAAGGACTTTAACAACACCAACAGGCGTAGTTTTCTTCGAGCATATCATACAAGCACAGACAAAAATTGCCCACTGTGTAAAAACAATCATATTTTACTCTACTGCAAGTCGTTTCAAGACATGTCACCGGAAGACAAAATGAGGTCAATTTCGCAACTACATATTTGTCGCAATTGCCTGTACTTACACAACGACAATAAATGCAACTCCAACAAAAGATGCCGCGTGTGCAAAGAAGCACACCACACAACATTGCACGATATTTACCGCAAAGTTGAAATCGCGGTCTCAAATAACGTTATACCTAGCAACAAGCCACATACGTCACAGCAAAAGGCAAACCACGTGTCTGGAAATTATAACGAAGTCCTACTAGCGACCGTTCAATTAAAGGTGATGGCAGCTGATGGATCGACTGTTCAATTGCGATGCCTTCTCGACCAAGGATCACAGATAAATCTAATAACTGAAGATGCTGCGCAACGGCTGGGACTGCAAAGACAAAATCGAAACGCCACAGTCTCAGGCATAGGGACGTCAGCACATCATAGCAACGGAACCGTACGGTTAGACTGTGAGTCTTTGTACGGAGGCCATTCATTTACAATCGAAGCCATGGTAATGGCCAACATGCTCAGCAACCTGCCTAATTACACCTTCGAAAAACAAGACTGGCCACATATTCAGAACATACAACTGGCGGATCCCGACTTCAACATCTCGAGACCAGTGGACGTTCTGTTAGACGCTGGAGTGTATGCTGACATAGTAATGAGTGGTATGCTACGAGGACCCTCACACGCACCCATGGCTCAACAGACAAAAGTGGGCTGGGTACTGCTGGGCAATATCAAAACCTTCAACTGCCACGTGCTCATTAATCTTGACGATGTATCTCGATTTTGGGAGATGGAGGAGATAACCGAAACCAATCACAATCTAACATCAGAGGAAGAATACTGTGAATCTATTTATTCAACCACAACAACAAGAAAAGAAGACGGACGATATGCAGTCAGACTTCCAATGAAAATAAACTACGAACAAACCTTGGGCACTTCTAAGCCACAGGCAATCGCACAATTTCGGCAGTTAGAAAAACGATTGGCCAAACAGGAAACATTTTCTACGTCATACAAGAAGTTTATTGACGAATATCTACAACTCGGCCACATGAAGCCATGCACTGAACACCATAAGCCAAGCTACTTCTTACCTCATCACGGCGTACAAAAGCTGGACTCAACAACTACAAAATTGCGCGTAGTCTTTAATGCCTCTGCCAAGACAAGTACAGGACAAAGCTTGAACGATCTCATGGAGTGCGGGCCTAACCTCCAACAAGACCTACAATCTATGATTCTACGTTGGCGAGCCTTTCAATACGTCTACACTGCAGACATTGAGAAGTTTTACCGTCAAGTACTGATACACGATGAAGATCAACACCTGCAAAAAATTGTATGGCGTGACTCTGCTACAGATCTCATCAAAGAATACCAACTGTGCACTGTAACATATGGTACCAAAGCTGCACCATTTTTGGCAATGCGCACCATAATACAACTCGTAATGGACGATGGACACCGCTATCCTCTCGCGGCAGAGATCCTTACTCACCAGCTGTATGTGGATGACCTACTTGGTGGCAGCAACGACATGTTAGAAGCACAAGACGCTCAAAACCAATTGATTGACCTGTTAAAAGGCGGTGGGTTCAATCTTCGCAAATGGGCTAGTAACCACCCCAGATTGCTTCAAACTTTACCTGAACATCTCATAAGCCAGAATATGTTTGACTTCAAGGACGCAGAGAGTAACAAAACACTCGGCTTAACCTGGAATCCGCACACTGATCAGTTTACATTCAAGGCGCCACTTAGTAACACACGTGACGTCACAACGAAGCGGACATTGCTCTCTGATCTATCAAAATTATATGACCCACTTGGTTGGCTGTCTCCGGTAACAATGAAGGCAAAACTCATATTTCAACAAGCTTGGCTTGCTTCAACAAATTGGGATGAACCTCTTC